CTCCTCCTGACCACATATTTTCTCCTGCCCAGAAAGACCTTATCCTCTCGGCAGAGAGAAAGAGTCCCTTTTCCTGTCCCTGGGAATGACCTGAGGTGGGATCAGATATAATGACAGGGGCATGGCCAGACCCTCATGTTCTTCCATCCCACCTCACATGAGTCCCAGGGACAGAGAAGGGACAGGTGTCTTCCTAACATGGATCATTGGGAATGTGTGTCACCAGGGCTCTTCCCAAACTGGGTCCCATGATGGAGGATGAAGTTGGAGCAGCAGATGAAGCATTTCCTGCACAAAGGGCACTCACAGGGCTTCCCTTAGTGGTGCCTCCGTTGGTGTTGGACCAAGTGAGACCTACAGTAGAAGCTCTTCCCACACTGGGGACACTCGTAGGGCCTCTCCCCAGTGTGGATGCGCTGGTGGATGATGACGGTGAAGTTTCGCTTGAAGCCCTTCCCACAGTCGGGGCAGCGGAAGGGCCTCTCCTCTGTGTGAATCCGCTGGTGTGTGAGGAGATTGGAGCTCTGTGAAAATCTCTTCCCACATTCAGAACACTCATAGGGTCTCTCTCCAGTGTGGATGCGCTGGTGGCGGATCAGTTCAGAGCTGTAGCTGAAGCGCTTCCCACATTCCCCACACTCGTAGGGCCATTCCCCAGTGTGGATCAGCCGGTGACGGATCAGGATGGTGCTTGTGCTGAAGTTCTTCCCACACTTCAAGCACTTGTAGGGCTTCTCCCCAGCGTGAAGCTGCTCATGGACCACTCGGTCCAAGCCCCGGCTGAAGCTCTGGGTGCCTTCCTGGCCCTGGGTGGGTCTTTTCCCCTCAGAGCACCCTGGGCTGTGTTTGGAGCTGCTCCTTGCGCAAGATCTCCAGGGCTTTTCCTTCTCATTAGATTCTGGCACTGTGCAGTCTGTCAAAATGGCCTCTTCCACGGGGTTCTGCTGGTGGGATTTGTCCTCCCTGCTCTCCATCCTCAGCTCATTGTCTGGGGGAGGAAGGACATGGAGAGGATGGGATTTGCCTCTGTGCCAGAGGGAAGGGGAAGGAGATCCCCCCAATCCATCCCCGGCAGGACGGTGTCGGCAGC